TTATATTGATTTCGAAACGGTCAATTTTGCGGAGCCGCAAACCATTCAGGTCATGCTGCATCGATTTGAATAAGCACTAATCAGAGAGAATGTCCAGCGATCATGCTGGTTGTGGCAGAACTTTCCATTCGAGATGCAACAGTGTATATCTGGGCAATTCTTGCAAACTGGTATTTTGAGTCAATCTGCGAAGTAGACATTTTTCCTCGTTTTGGATCTTTCCCATCTTAACTAAACGTTTGAAATAGGGCATTCGTCAAATGCTAAGCTTTTTAAGAGTTCCTTGAGAGTAGGTTTTTGTCCAAAAAATCTTGCAAATGTTTTCGAGCTGTCCTACAGGCTGGTTTGTTTTGCCATTGACATCAACATCACTAGTTTTAAATCATTGAAACCACAACAGATTTCTTCAAATTAAACAAAAAAGTAAGTGAAGGAAGAGCGCTGCACGGTTAGCGAGGGGACGCTGAAAAACTCAATAATATTAGATGAGAAATTGTCATTTTAGGTAGAGAAAGGTCAAAATATCGAATTTAATCGTTATATACTCTGGGATTTCCCATTTCTTTATTATTTTCACCTGTAGAAGTCGCTGATAACAATTAATCCAACCACCTAACATTTTAACCCATGTGTAACTATAAGATAAATTGGTTCACATCTTATAAAAATAAACTTGCTAATTATGGCAGCAAGCTTTTGATAAATAAACAATTTTGTAAATAAATTGGTGGGCTTTTTCTCTTGATACCACTCTACGCAGAATCGTTGGTGGACAGCACAAAAAAATGAGAGAGATTTTTCCTCTATTCGTTTGCATAAATTTTTTTTTCCTCACTAGTTTTACAAGAATTTGTTAAAACTCGCCATTTTATTTTTAGAAAAGGACAGACCGTAAACAACGCAAACTCTGCATGTTTAACATTTAGAGAAAAGTCATTATACTCATTTAATATGATAATTTTGCAAAAGAGCGCCGGTTGTGCCATTCATACTTTGACTAAAACAGTAGGTCAGGTGGAAGTGAGAGATGTAACCAGAGTACACAACTGCACTATAGCAGGGAAGCATGAAAGAAAATAAAAAGCCTTTATTTTACTTTTTCTATGTAAAAAGGGCAATTAATATCACACATAAATGAGTATATACACAAATATTTCTCGTGCACGATTTTATTTTACTTTCCTACACATACATTTTTCGTCAATATTAAAAATTTTTAAGTTTTTTACTTAAGGCGAAATTTTTGTATCCATTAGAGATAGTTTAGAAAACAAACCCAATATTAAATGTACTTTTGATAAATGTAACCAGTTGTTTACATTAAATGCAGCTTTGAAATTTGTAAATTAAAATTTATGAAGAATATCTTAGTGTTCAAAATACATGAGGGCTTGATCGGCTTACTGGTTCTACTTTAAAATGTTTGTTTTTGACAATAACTTTTATTAAATTTCGACAGCGTTATTAGATTTGGATCGATGGCACTTCTTGATTTTTTAAAGTAGAGATTTACAAATGATTTATACAGTGGATGAATATTTCCCGTTTCGCCTTCGCCATTCTTGAACTCTTCTTAACTTATCGCACGGGCAATGTTGTGTATACATAAAGTTATGCAGAGGAGAGACAAAAAGAGGTGACGCGTAAACTGAGAGATACTTGTTCATGCGCATTGATGTGGCACGTGCATAACATTTGAGGTTTATGCTGATCAAGAAAACTTTACAAGTTGTTTTTAAATTAACAAATCAATTCCTCCACTAGAATCATTGCCATACATTTAATCTGAATTGAGTGCTATCATCTTGCTGGCGCTTAACCACTTATGTTATGATGTAGGCTTGCAATTAAAACTTACATAAATAAAATCCTCTCAAGATAATTGAAATAGTATAAATCTACTTATTGTTGTGCATAAACGGACGCTGATGAATATGGCAAGAGAAAGCCGTTAAATTCAACGAGTCAGAATAATGCAATGGATCAAATGTGTCCACTTAAAACACTATAATTTAAGAGGAATGAGAGGAAGGGGAACTATATTACATATATTAACTTCGGCAAGTGCACAAAAATACGAGTTAGTGATCGTATGAAACAACTTCGAAATTACAATTACGACTTCGCCATTTTTTCTGGTATGTTATTCTGAAATTGAACGTATTTACAATATTTAAGTGAATATTAAATTAGTCAAAAAGGCCAAGTTAGATTTTTAAACTTTATGTGAAATGTTTAGCTTTGTCTTAAATTCGTTCTTATTGAAGTCGTTTAGTTGGATTGAATAATTATCGGTTCTGAGGAGGTATCACAAATCCAAAAAAAGGATATTGGGACGGAAAGGCTAGTTTTGTTTTCGGGTATAGATATTCTCATATATGAGGTGTTCTTATCTATGCAACATAATAAATGGCCTCACTAAAAGATTTTGCTTAGTAAGACTCACAAATATGGAAAATTATATTCAAAAAGTAATTTCAGGACATGTATTTGGTATTAATTACCATTATTTTCACCTTTTCTATAACAATAGTATAGTGCCATCTCTATTTTAAATGCAATAAATAAAAAGATTCAGCCTAATGCCAACAAGTAAAGCAGTGAGAAAGCAATAGCCAGGTAGACATTGCTAGCTATTTTCCATTACTTCGCTTAATACAAATCTTCCTTTCTTTCGGAGACAAATTTTCAAAAACTATATCTTGTTTCCAAGTGAAGGTGAAGCATTTATATTGTTCAAATATGGCACAGGTAATTCTAATGTCAAGTTGCTATTATCAACTTTCATCATAAAATATAAAAAATCAGACCTTTCTGCATATGAAGGCTTATTTGCCATAGGAACAGTTGTATGAGGGAAAGTTCTTCAGTTCAATTTAGTCTGCCAAAATTCTAAGATTCAGTGATTTTTGTCGAGAAATTTTGCAAATTTTAATGTATTTTCCTAAAATGTTTGTTTTAAAACGAGGCGTTGTATGGAAAATGGTCGTAAAATTGTCCTATACAATACATTTTCAATAGGATTCGCCCTACGTCCAAAATAAATTTATGTATAAAATTTCGTGAAAAAAACTCACAAATTTTCGAGCTTCATAAAAAAATGTGGGCATATCCTAAGTTCTTCCGGTTAAAACATACATAGGCACAAGCTCATGGGCACATCCTCTATTACTAGTGGTATGCTGTGTTTTTTTTATTAATTCATTATTGATGACATTGACACGATACATGTTTTCGTCAGTTTTGACGCATTTCCTTTTCGAATCATGCACCTATAATTCCCAAATATCGTCCTTATTTGGAATGAACGTTTGAAAAAGTTTGTTTTATGCATTGGTGCAATTCTTGGTTAATTCATGCCAAAAAAATTTATTTGAAGTTATTTCAAAAAAATTATAGTTTTTCCATTTTTGTGGATTGACTTGATTCTGTACCAACTTCCTCAAAAAGAATAATGTAAATTTCAGATCAAACCGCTACGGGTGAATTTAAATTTATAATCGCGTACTTCTGTTTTTAATACTACGCATCGGACAACAACCACAGAACCTTCATTTTTTCGCCCGTCCAATTGGCCTTCAGTTGCTGTTAAAATCAAATAGGTAATGGTAAGCTGACATGAGATTCAACTCAGTACGAACACTTTCCTGGCTCATTGGCACGTCCACGATTTAAACAATCTCTCAATTTTTATATATTCCAGAGTTGCGTACTATTTGCACTATTTGCTAGTCGTTAATTTGAAATAATCGGTGAAAACAGCACCCATAACAAACATATACACCTTATTTGAGTTTTAAACTTTTAAATACAATCTCTTTACGCTTTTCAAGCTGTATGGACTTTTTGTCATAACATTTCTTTATTAAATAGTTCTTTTTTTTTGTGGTTGATTTTTTAATAAAAAAAAATATAATGTTCCTTAATTGCATTAAAAAGTTAAAATAATTTTTCTATTTTATGTAGGTCCAATAACCGAGAAATTATGAAACTGCAGGCGGACATTATTTTTGCTGTGTTACTCTTAACGTACAACAAGTAGATGAATTTAATAAATATATAAAAAGTAAAGACAAACGGCTAAGTGAGAAAGTACGAATTGGAAATATGGACAACACACTTACATTAAAGTGAACATTTTAGATGTTGCTGTGCACGAGTAGTCAAATTATCATTAAATTAGTGACAAACATTTAGACCCAATTGCGAAAGAGTAAAGCATATAACACGTCAAATTATTTTTGCAAAGCAATAGCGAAGAAAACAAAAATAATTGTTTTTACGTTTTATGATGAATTTTAGATACCCAACACTTAAATGATTTTTAATCATTTTGAAGGAATTAGCAGCAGTCCGTTCCCTCATCATTCTGAAGTTTTCTGCGCCTTACGCTTAAATTGATTTTTATTATGGGCTGTAGGTTATTAATGAATATATGACATATTCTTGTATATATATGTAAATAGTTTAGTATAAATCTCATTTTGAATTTTTTCAACTTGTAACAATGTTGATTATTCAACTTGTACAATTTTAACTTATAACAATTTCGATCAATATTCCTCATATACTAATTTCATTCTTTATACACGAAGAAAACAGATCAAAGGGAGGGGCAGGCTATGTCCCTAATAATATAATAATATTATATATTAACACCATGTAATGTGGGACTGTGGATTTTGCAAATAGGATGACGAAACTAATATTCCGCCATACTTATGTATATTTGCGTGCATATGTGAGCCTGTATATGCAATTTATACATGGGTCTGCAAGTATAGTGTATAAAAAATATACAAAGACGGAAAAAGAAGGAAAAAGAAAAGCGAGCCTAATTCAATTTAGTTCTCATTTTCACAAAAACAAAATTTAACATTTACCTCCAAGTCAGTGCAAACCATTTAGCATAGTGGATCACTTTAAGTTCAAACGGTATATTGTCGGGTCGTGGATTAGGGCTTATGCGATTATCATTAACCGTTAAGTGGTTACAGAAATTCTTTCCCGGAACAAAATTTTATTCAATATTACAGCACCTTAAAAGATTTTCAAGCTCAAAATATTGCGTCCGCGGCATTCATCGACTTTCTTATTTATAAAGTTTGCATCTACGCAAATTTGCTTTCACATTTTTTATTCCGTAGTTTTTAAAGGTGCGTAAGATGTGGTGTACTAAGAAAAACACGGTGAAACGAGAAATGAGAAATGAACTGAGAAAAGAAAAGTCTGCTCGCAGAGTTACAAATATCGGTTAAAACCTAGTAATAGTAATAGTCACACACTAAAAAAAGATATTGTCAACATGATTGATGTGAGAATAAGAGAATGAGATATAATAAGAATTAAAGATCATTTATAGCTCTTTCTTTAAGAGAAGAAATTTAGTTGAAGAAAAAGTTTAATATTAGCCATACATGCCCAGGTACCTCCCGTAGATATACGACGACATTTCTCCACCCTTTAACCTTACCTATAATTCCGTCCTTGTAAAGTCATGGCGGTAATTCCGCTAAAGCTATTCTTGCTTCTCTTTTGAAAACTATTAATGATTTTAAATAAATAAGTAAATAATTAAGTTTTATCAACTCTTCGTGCTATTACAGTTGAAACCACTACAACGGCGACAGCAGTGCAAAGAATTTTAAAATTACTAATGCAATTGCAGCATAAATTGCTGCGGAAATTTGTTAATTTAACAGCTTTAGAAAATTTACAAAATTGTTTTATTATCACACCATACCACCAATAAATGAAAGGCGATTTCGGAATCAAATACAAATCGTTTTAGTAGCTAGAATACAACTCTTAATAGAAAAGAACGTTCTTCATAAGAGAATTGAAGGCTTAATATAAACACGAAATATTTGGTGTCCGGAGTAGAAGAAAAATAAACGTAAATCTGGGTAATTTGTGGCTATTAATAAAAGGTAAATTTTTTCGTAGTTGTCATACCATAAAAACATTGTATCAGTTATAATCTTATCGTTCCGCTTACAATACCAAGAAGAGACGTACTAAAGATCCCTAAGATTGTCTAATAACATGAAATTCTTAATTGAATTTTCTTTTTCCAGCCTTCTGTCGGTCCGCGTCTTGTTCAGAGCTCTCAGTGATAAGTGCAAAAGCTGTCATCACTGCATATCTTTGTGGTTAAGTCCACAGGCAACATTGAAAATGGGAAGTATATGTCCTCAAATCTATTATTACGAGATCAGAATGTAAAATAAACTTGAAACGAAAGCTATACATTTAACTTATGCTTCCTTGAACTCGCATTTGATATTCTTCATCACATTAAAAATATATTTATTAAAATATATTTATAATATTTAAAATATGCCAAAAGATGTGTATGAGTTTTTTTGTAAAAGAATATTATAACTATATTTTTACAAGTCTTTGAATCAAGAGTGTAAATGTACGTACGAAGTAGTAATTGGTGAGCGATTTGCTGGACTCATCGATTTTCAATGTAGTATTGGTCATCACTATTTTTATAAGTTTATTTTTTTTATTTTTTTATATCTCATAAGTTAGATTTGACCTTGAAATTTTTACAAAATACGTTGAAAGAGGAAATAAATAAACCTGACGTATGCTTGTATACATGAAGAGACTTTAATGGATTTTGCAAAACAAATGTCGTCGTCAGAAGCATTCAGAAAAGTATCTGTATATGACGCCGAAGAAAGAAATAAACTAAAATAAAATTTTTCCTTAACGAGAGAAATAATTTGAAACATATTTATCATCACATTTCCTTTCACATTATTCACTTTTATCTTTTTTGGTTTGTAGAGAACGCTTTACACATACGTATATAATTTCTCATAAATATTTTTTGTTATTATTTGTATGGGTTTTCAAAATTTATTTATGAGTGAGTATCCATTTTAGTCAATATTAGGTATATCGATGCTTAAGTTATTTAACGCGCATCAACAAAAAACATATTAAACATTATTTATTAAATTGTTGAAAAGTTCAATTCCCCTGTTTGTCTGCCGTCTACTGTTAGCACAGTCACAATAGCAAAACTACCGACAAAAACTAAATATTGGACGCAGTCTTTAACGTGGACCCACGTTGTTTTCAGCTGTCTGGAAAGGAAAACTCCTCGTAAGTCCTCCGCGTTCGGTGTTCTTGAATTGATTTTACGTATCTCACTAATTTTATAAAAAGGGGGGAAAATACGGCCACCGTCAGGTCTCACCATCCTCTCACTCCATCTAGTAGGGACAGACGGGTAAACCGATAGGGACGGTAATGCAAAATGCGTAGCAGCATTAAAGCTTCTTGGCCGTCAAGCCAATTTTTGGAGTGGTGACCAAAGAAACGGAGTTTAGATACGTATATACTGTAAAAAGTCTTTTTTGGACAACTGATACGCCCTTAATTGTCCTGCTACCAAGGGGTAAACTAGTATATGTTTTTATTCCGCCTGCAAATCATAAGAATGACGTAGGCATTTTATGGAAGGCGCTTTCAAAATGGAAAAGTAAGAGAACACTCATAAGTACCATCGGCCTCCACAATGATCTTATTATTCGTTTGTTTATAGCCTTACGCGTATAAGAGAAAAAGAGAATTAACCTTTTTTTTTGGTTGTGTAACATTAACCACCTAGTTATCGCATAAGTGGGACATCTTTTGTGATTGTAAGGAATTATAGACGGCGAATTTTTGAAAAGAGTAAGTTCATAGAATGAATTTGTATTTAAGTTTATGCGCTTATGCGAACACTGTGGAAATGTTATTGTTATGGACAAAAGGAATGCAACACAAAGATTTTTACGATGGTAGACGACCATTTGAAGAACGAAATAACAAGAGTCAGCAACCGTCGATTAAACATCAGACGTGTTGTAGATATCGGTTGGAATAGATCACTTTAAAAAACATTTCGCAATTTTCTCGTTTTGAGTCAATAAAAGGATTATCGGTAACAGTTTCCAGTTACGAAAGAGGCCGAATGAAATTACACTTCTGTCAGATAGATGGCAGTTTTATCAATCTAATAAATAAGTTAACATTGATATTCAAAGTTCAGGGGTATTGTTTTGAAAAAATTACTTGTTTTTCAACTCTACTTAACAATAACGGATTGTGAACTCTTCTTGAGATTAATTTAGGACTCATCAATCTTTCTCCAATTATGAACTAACCGAAGTATAGGAACGGCGTAAGAATAACAATCAAAATTTTAATAACTATAAAATCGCAAATCAGTTGGAATATCTAGTACAAGCTCTAAATTATGGCATGTACTCGTTCACAGAGTTGATGTGCTATAATTACGCGTTGAAAGTGTCTACACAGAAAGAGTGCAAACGAAAAGTATCCTTTATGAAGATTTGCGACTTTTGAATATAAATGGTATGTTAGTTCTATGTGTATGCAGAAATTTTTTGAACTTTCTCGCGACAAAGTGTTCAGCAGAAATAAGTTTGTAGCAAAGTGCAAATAATTGACAGTGAAGCACCACTTTTGTGCAAATAAATTAAAAAAATATGTAAAGCATTTATTTAAAAGCAAATTATTTCAAAACTTTTATCAAATCAAGCAATATCGAGCTAAGTTCACTTACGGAACTAATTTAAATCATTTCTTTAAATTTTATACATACTAAAGAAACAGAGCAAAAAGAAATATTGGTAAAGTTTTCTTGGAGTGATGGTCGCACACTAAACAAACGAACTTCGACAGTATTGATTTTCTATTTTAGCTTAAAAAAATTAAAAACCAGAGCAAGTTAAAAAGTGGAACATAGACTGAAATTTACCCACCACAACAATAAATTTTTGGGTCCAAAATTAATTTCAGTTTTTTATAATACAATAAGTTTGGAACTAAAAATCGAGCAAATAATTTTTTTAAGTACTTATAATTGCATTCATTAAGAGTATCCTTGAAATTGTCAGAACAACGGAGCCCTCACTACTGCATCAGGCGTATTTCAATTATCCAAACGAATTTATTAATAAGAAGGACAGGAAAAATATATGCATTTATTCTACGCCGCATTTGTGGCATAAAAAGAAGACCACACCTCATCGGTAGCAGTGAGATTAGGCAAACGTTTCCAATACCAATAAAAATACAACCAACGGATTCTTATTGTATGTTGAAGGCATCAGTATTTGAATCAATGGAGTACTTAATAAATATATTAAAGTTTAACATTAAATATTTGAAAAATCAATAATATACCGAAACGTTTTAAAAAAAACAAGCAAAGTAGAAATCTCAAGAGCGGCGGCAGCATCTCTAAACGCATTATAACGAACGTACACATATATTTAAAGAAGCCATAATGAGTTGTTGAATAGTCGAAAACTAACACAAAAAAGTAATATCACATTCACGTATATCTGCAACACATTTACAAATTTTTCATTTTTATTAAAAAAGGCAAAACAGTAAGGATTTAACAAAACTGCGAACAAGAAATTAATAAACAACTACGAACCAATACCAATTAAGCATTATCACGTGATTGTCGTTGCTAGCTATTTGTTCCCTGTTTACATATCGCGTATATTTAAGCTATCGAATAAAAAACCTCGTCGTGGACGACGTACATTTACGCTCTTGGTGGTTACTTTCTTCAATTATTCTTGGTTTCTTCATCGTCTCCGTACAACTTGAGGTCATTTTTTGATTTAGTAATACTCGTAAAATGGAAAAATCTGAACACTTTTCAGATTACCTTTTTGCTAAAATGGGTCCGCCCAACTCCACGACCGTTCACGGTTCAGAACTGCCACCCAAAACTACAGAACATTGTCAGGCTCCACGCGAATTAAAAGGATACCGAAAATGGATTGATGAAAATTTGATGCTATTGGTGACTCTATCCGGCGTTAGTTTGGGCGTCATTTTGGGTAAGTAGGCATTGATATTTGCGTTATTTAAAATATTTATTTAATCTTGGTTCAGTTTAGTGGGTTTGGCGGGTTCTAAACGAATAATAGCAGAAGAAATGGGTTGAAATGTTTTTCGATAGGGAAACATTCATGTTTTGTTTGAAGGACGAATTCAATGAGAGTTGCGTGAATGTACGTATGTTCTTGTTACTGAAAAGGATAGATATTTTTGGAAGAACTTGCTGGGATAAACCGAAGAGCGTTTACTTCGAAAATTAGAAATATTTTAAAAGAATTGAATTACAGATGTATATTCGTCACCTAAAGCATACTTTCGAACCTAATATTCCGTTAATCTGTCAATATGAGGATCGAGAATCGATTTGGAATCGTTTTTCGCAATCGATTGTGCGGTACATGTGGTGTTTTCGGCAAGTTACTCTTTGTTTTCAATCTATGGCAGTCAATCACACATTTGTTTAATCAACTGCTTAAGAGGAACTTTGACTTTCTTTTGATTAAAAAGCTCAGCGTTGTTTAACCTAGTCGTCATGTATAGCCTAATCTCAATTTGAAACGCAACACTTACTCTCACCTTTATGCATCATTAATTTTTTTTTAGCATCAACATACATCTCTCTTTCCTAAGATAACGGGAAAAGCTAGACTCCACCACTCTCCACCATTTTTGCATAATTAGTTTGAAATTACTTACTTACCACATCAAATCCTACACCATGATCGCATAATTCATATGAAATTACTTAATATTTCAAACGCTTAAATTATGCGAATTAACTTTACTCAAGTCCATATTCTCCATAAAAGTTTTATTCTCGGCGAAGTTGGATACGTTCGCAGATTTGTCATCTTATATACAAATAATTCAGGGGTGTCCGGTTGTTAGAACTGACTTATATCAATTGATTGCAAAAATTTGAGGATATCTTATAGCTGTTGGTTGTAGATTTCAGAAAATTCCCAGACTGTAACGCCAGCAACGGCGAATTAAAGATAATTGAAAAAGAACAACTGATGCACATAATCGTCGAGCAAAGCCGATCATTAAGCATTCTAGACTTCGCCCAGTAAAGTACATTTATTTTGACGACTGCCATTTGATAAATAAAATTAGATTTTGCTCGATATTAAGGCTTGCTTTTCATTCTTTTCATGAGGATCCTTATATGAGCACACATATTCCAAATTTAACACAATTTTTTTCTTGTCATAGATGCCATGTTTCTTTATCTATTGTCCTTCTAAAGAGCTAAAAATTGTAGTTAATTGACGTGGAAGGCTTCCTTTTCATAAGAATTACTATGCGGACAATTATTATAAGAAATAGACCCACGTAATGCTGATCTGACTAGATTGATTTTTATGTCAGGTTGTTATTATAGGCAAATTTTCATAAAATATTCAAAATTTTTCGCTGAGATGGTTATATGGGGGAGGATTAAAACTATTGGATAAATTGTGCAAATTCCAAATTTTTTCATACAAAGACTTTTTCAAAATAAGGCGTTTGTAGGAGCGCAAAGAAGACTCGATCTAATCCATTTTCAATACAATTTCTTCTTGGACCCCAACTCTCGGCGGATACTGTACCAAATTATCTCAAAGCACATCAGATATTCGGATTCGCAGATCAAGCATAAGAATTCATGCACAAACAAACTTAAGTTCGATCATTACATACCCTATATAATTGTTTGTTATTCCATTTCATGATAATACTCCAAAGATCATAATTTGCTTTGGTGCAAATACTCTTGAAATCCTTTATGTTTGATGGTGTACAAGATGTGAACTGACGTGGTCCAAATTAGCAAATTTAATTTTAAAGATTTTATTATTCTTCAATTGCTTCCATCGTATAGAGGTATATGTTCGACTTTTCTGCCATGTATAGGAGCAATTTTCATGGAATATTTTTGAGAAACTACTCCTACGGACCAATTTTCGCCGTGAAATATTGAAAACAATTACTTTTGCTGATAGTTGAGTTTTTCTGCTAAGTTTTTATAGGCAGAGGTTTCACGGACGTGTTTTCCAAAAACAAAAGTCATATGCATTAAGGATCACAAAGACTGGACTCCAATAAAAATTAAGTGATTTTTGCAAGTGTTCTTCTTACGACTCTATTGGTATATATTATATATACTATTTTTATACCAATCCACAATAATCAAAGCGAACTGGGATGTATGCAATCCAAATATGTTTTTAAAATTGATTTCTTTATTTACAGGTTTCTCCTTGCGTTCCTTCCATCTTCATGAAGACTCCATTATGCTCATCTCTTACCCCGGTGAGCTGTTTATGCGTATTCTGAAGTTGATGATATTACCTTTAGTTATATCAAGCTTAATTGCTGGTTCCGCCAGTTTGAATGCTCGTATGAATGGCAAAATTGCCCTACGAACTTTGGTGTACTTTGCAAGTACTTCACTGCTAAATGCTATTTTAGGCATAGCGTTGGTAACGCTAATCCACCCTGGCGATCCAGATTTGCATAATTCGATTGATCGTACAACGGACAGACGGGCTGCCGTGAATTTATTGGATAGTTTACTGGATTTGGGAAGGTAAACAATGCCATAGTTCAAATTCAATTGTGTACAGTAAGATTATGGTAAAGCAAAAAATGTGTGGCCAAACTTCGCTGTCGTAAGCCGCAAGTTTGCAAAATAACTTGTGAAAACCTAATAAATATGTAAGAATAATCTGGAAACAGAGCAAAAAAGCTCGATTAAATAAACATATTAAGTTTATTTTTTGTGTGACGTCCTCTCGTGATTTCGGTGTGCCTTACAATCAGCAGAAGTTTGAATTTTTAACTTTTAAAATAAAACAAATTGGTTATTTGTATAACTTGCTATATCCCTATATTGAACGGATCCAAAAAGTATGCGTACTTGGACCAAATGTGGTAAAATTGGATTTTGTGTCAAATTGCTTTAATGGGGCAAACGATAACAAGTTGTAGTTTCTGTAAAAACAGGTCCCATTCGATTCAAATTTTTTGCTTTAGTTTAGAATACCCGATTATTATTACCCTGCGATTTTTGCCAAGCAATTTTGCAATTTGGAAGTTTTTCTCGTATAAGGACTATCGCAAACTAGAAATTCATGAACACATAACAATTGGATATGCAAACAGACAGACAAACAAGTTCGAATTGATTCAGAAAACAACTCGGAATCGACTAGTTTAATAAAAGGTGTATCTTCAGTCTCCCTTAATTTATCCTGTACTACAAGCTGTGTGGAGTATAATGACTTCAGCTCAAAATACCGAGCTGTTAATCAGTGAATTGGATTGGCAAATATCAAAATTTATTTTTTTTTCGAAATTTATAGTTTTAGGAATATAACGCCTATAAATGGGGAACACAATTTCAATTGGTAAGGAGGCTTTGCTGAATTATACTTATGGTCGTTTTCTACCTCTTTCCAGAAACGTCTTTCCTGATAATATATTTCAGGCATCGTTTCAACAAGCGCACACCGTTTACGTGCCTAAACCCACCGTTCTGCACGCGTTCAATGAAACGGTGAATGAAAACGTTGATGAAACACTGCGTGACGAGAGCGCCGAAGTAGAACAGGGTGCTGAGGGGCAACGTGACGAAATTACAGAAACCGCTCATATACGTGTCATACAATACCGTAGTGGTACCAACACGTTAGGTATTGTGTTCTTTTGTTTGGTATTCGGCACATTCCTAGGAACAATCGGTTCCAAAGGGCAAGTGGTGGTGGACTTTTTCGCCGCTATATTTGAGGTCGTGATGAAGATGGTTACGTGCGTTATGTGGTTGACACCTGTTGGTATAAGTTCGGTGATTGCTGGTAAAATTTTGGGTGTTACCGATCTGCATTTGGTTATGGCGCAATTGATGTGGTTCATCTTAACAGTTACAATCGGAGTAGTACTCTATCAGTTTGTAATCATGCAAGCAATCTATTACGTATTTGTTCGTCGCAATCCATTCAAATTCTACGCTGGACTAATACAAGCTATGCTAACAGCTTTTGCGACTGCTTCAACGTAAGCTTTTACTATCTCTTTCTCTCTTAACAACGTTAATCATTCTTTGTATGGTTAAATGATACTTTTAACAAAAAAGATTAAATTTTATGAAGATAGTTATTAATTTGAAAAATTTCGTTAATAACGTTATCGTTGCTACAAATATTTTTTTCCTTCTTTTTGGTTTTTATGTATATGTGTGCGACCTTTATAATTTGTCCTAAAAACTGTCTGAAAATTTATTATAATTTTCCAACCTAAAATATTATTGAACAACAACTGACGACTGCTAACGTATTGGACCGACTGTAAAACTTTGAAACTGTATAAAACCAAAACAATTATTCAAAATTACATGCAATATACATAATAAAATCGCTGGATCAACATGTGGCTGCTTTCCTCATTTTCGTCGTCACAGCGCTGCTGCTCTTCCTGTTACATTCCGTTGCATTAACGATAAGTTGAGGGTGGATCAGCGAATAACGCGTTTTGTTCTCCCAATTGGCTGCAACATTAATATGGACGGCACAGCTCTTTTCATTTCGGTTGCTTCAATATTTATTGCCCAAATGAGTGGTATGACTTTAGGTTTCGGTGAATTGGTTACTGTTTTACTTACTTCGACAGCTGCTTCAATGAGTTCGGCTTCTGTGCCAAGCGCAGCGTTAGTTTTGTTGCTAGTAGTGCTAACCGCTATAGACGCTCCAGTGCAAGATGTGACTCTATTGTTTGCTGTCGATTGGTTTGTGTAAGTTATATTCAGAACAGGAGTTTTATGGTTTTTCAATATTTTCGTTTCCTTGCATTTTATTTTTTTTAAAAAAGAGATCGAATACGTACGACAAACAATATGCTGGGAGATTGTTATGCAGCAGCTGTAGTTGAAGCGCTGTCACGGAAAGAATTAATGGCATTGGATGCTGCTGCTATTCTTTACCAGGTAATGGCTACGATGCCTTATAATTCTGCTTGATTTGAATTTTAAATTTACCCAGAAAAAATGTCTAAAACGTAGGTTGCAAATTGAAATTTTTATTTTATAAAGTGTTTGACGAAGTTTTTGAATTAAACGTTACGTTTACAGATCTTTTACACAATACGCCGTTTTGTAAGGCAGGCGGGTACGATATGTAAAAGAAAACGCAAACGTTTATCATATTGAGTTATAAAACTTTTTATAATGCTTTGTGCAGCGAATATAATTTCGGCTAATTTCTTGACTTATATGTTACCTTATACAGGAATTACCCATTAGTACACCGAACGGTCACGTGAGTTTAGAGGGGCAAACTGAGTTGGATAGTACTTGCACTATACCGGATGCAGTTATCGTGGATATGAATGCCATCATGAATACAGTGCAACAGCAACAGCAGTATCAACAACAACAGCAGCGGAATGGCTACGTAAATCACAAAAATTAAAAGGAATCGCTTAAACAGATTACGAGAAATGCCATAAAACCAATAAAATTAATATCTTGCTTACACAGACGTACACCTTCGCTCACCTAAAAGACATTAATAAGATAAGTTTATCCAAAAGCGGGAAAATAAAAAACTTGCTTGCTAGAATATTTTACTTAGCTTCTTTAACAAAAAACAAGACTAATAGTTACAAGGTTTAGATTGTCACTGTAGACTGTACTTATCTCCTTTAAGGGAGATTAAAACAAAAAAAAAACATTTTTATTCTTCTCAAGACCAGTCTCTTACGCCCGTCAAGATTTTTCCTTCTCTTCGATTTTGATTCAGTTTACCGCAGATAAACATTAATGATATCGTTAGCAAAAGTTTTCTGGAAAACGTTATTTTACCTGGAAGTTTTTGGAATTTTTCTAAGTTATTTTCCTCTATAAGCGTTTACTTTTGAATGCTTTCCTTCAAAAGAAAATGATGAAAAATTATTGATTTTGTGTTCTTGTCCTTCGACCTTCCCCGCTTTGAGATATTTATGCTGACAGATGATAGGTAGACTGATGAAGAATTTAGACGCTTTGTAATTTTTTGAGTTTGGGTGGTGGGTATAAGAACGCAAATTAAGATACATTTTAATAATCTATACGTAACCAAAATGTAAACTTCAGCCCTTTTGTATTTGCCTCTTTTTTGCTTTGATGCCCATTAAGATGATTGTTAACACATAATAATTTTAATTAAATTTATATTACAAAATTTAAATTGTGATGTATGTAGCAACATTAGTTAACTAAATTAAGACTTAGCAAGTAAGAAAGCTTTATTCGACTTGAGGCATATCTTGGATATTTGGATGCCCACTAAATCACTACAATGCCAATTTTTAACCTAAATGTTTATAAGGTCCTTGTAAATATTTGCGTCTAATTTCGAAGTAATATCAACTAGAAAGCATAGGTTACCGAGAATAAAAATACACTAATTTTATCTGCGTTGAATCAAATGGCAATTTTGAAAATTCCAATAAGAAACAGACAACCATATCTGAATTCATTTGAAAGCTTATATTTATCGGAATGTGTATTAAACGTGGAATATTACAATTAGTATAATCGCAACTTTTGGTGGTAGGTACAAAATATTTTAATTTGTTAAACAACTTTACAATTAATATGTCATAAGAAAATTAGGTCTGTTTGCTTTTATAAGTATTGTTTCTTTTCTTTTCTTCTTCTGTTATTAGAGCAGCTTAAGTCTGCATAAATTAATTGGATGAATACTTTGAAGTCTTCTTCTGTTTTTTACGCTTTATTTTGTTACTTACATATATTCATTGCTAATATAAACCATTAAAGTTTCTAGAAATTTATATGTTAATTATCACATAATTTTTACGTAGACTGATAGCGATATAGCAGTTAAATAACTATTCATGTATTTCTATGGCAACTAACTAAAATAAATGTAAACAGTAGATTGTTTAATCATCAGAAGAAAATTATATAAAGTCCTTTATATTAAATGTTAAGCTGGTTATTATAACACAAATATAGCCATTACTTGTAGCACTGTGCTGAAATATATTCCATACCGAAAAGATAATGTGTCTGCCCGGAAGGCAGCATACTTAATATATCAAGTCATGATGAGATTAATTGGGGTATATGTAAGTTATTTCTGTGCAATGCTCGATAAAGTGGACCACTTACATCAACAATAAAATCAAAAATGAAGTCTTTACGATTTACGATGTAGAAAGTGGAACATCAACATATATAGGTCGGCAGCTTATCAAAACATCTCATCTAGACAAGTTAAAATCTAGGATTTGCGTCTTTCTGGTAACGACAAACTTAATGGTTCACAATAATTATTCAACTTTTAAGCTTCTTTAGGCATATTAGTTGCTCCTAGTGTGGATGTTACCTTAAACGTACGTTGTCATACCGTATCGCTCGACGAGATCGAAAACACGAAATGTCTTCCGACGATTGTTTGATATTTCGTTCTAACTTTTACTATATTTATATATTAATATTAATTTTCAATAATCGAAATAAAATACGATATAAAAAAGAGACCCTGTGATATCCAAGACGTTAATAACAAAGTAAGCAAATGATTGATAATATAAAATTCGGCAGCAATCTAATTTCAAGCTTGTCTTAACAAATTTAGTTGATCCAATACGTATATATGTATATACTGTAACTTTATTCTTATTCTTTTAGTGGGTTTTTTTTTTTAAATTCTATATTTTGTGAATATAGTTACCTTCATACACAGTAACATTACGACAACGCGTAAAAGATCCGTATTTTCTGTTAAGCTTCCGCATTCTTTTATAAAACTTCCGCATTCTCTATTAAAACTAAAACCAATTTTGTATGGCAACACCAAACAAATATTTATGAAATGATAAACAACTTTTGTTCATTTTTTCAAGTACTATGAAGCATTTGTGTTTCGAAAATTTTAAGGAAAATCCTGTTTTGTTTTTTGTTGTGAGGTGGAAAACCCTCAACAGGCGCCCATTATGGCAGTGCGAGACTTTAACCGGCTAAAAACCACCCCTCCTATTTCTATACCCTGTGACACGACCGTTAAGGTATACCTTCACAAGGAGGGTAGCCGTTTAGGCAATATTTAAAAGCCCTTCGTGTATTTGTTTTCTCAAACTATTTGCGGCGAACACTCCTGCCGCCTTCCATATTTTTAGGTCGTGCAATATATTTGTCATAAGATTGTCGGGGAGAGGTAACACTCCAATTTCCATCTGTAGTCTATGTCGTTCGTTATGGTATTTCGGACAGACAAAGGAAACATATTCACCGTCTTCGATGCTTTCACAAACACTACAGAATGGGTCTTGCTCTATTTTAAACCTAATCAAATATGCTCTAAAGCAACCATGGCCACTAATTACCTGTGTCAAATAAAAGTCAATCTCACCATGTTGCCTATTCATCCAGGGCCGCCAATCTGATATAAGCCGGTGTGTCAATCTACCCCTACTCGCTCTGCTCCAGCGCTCTTGCCACTCTTCCACCAGTCGCTGTTTTGCTCGCTGCTTAACCGCTTCAGTGGATAGTCTGTGAATTTCACTTCTATACAGACCTTCATTAGCTCGCAAGTCGATAGGTATCATACCAGCGATAACCAAAGCCGCATCTTCCTACACCGTCTTATTTGCAGCGCACACTCTTAGGCCGCATAGGGTGTGTGCTGCTTGGATATGTCTCATGTATGACGGTATAGCGAGGTCCTTTTTCCACACCGAGGAGCGTACGTTATTGTTGCAGTTACCACTTCTGCGACTAGCTTTATACTGTCTTGCTTAGGGCCTCGCAAGTTTGGCACCCAGCGACTTTTCTACCTTAGCTGCCTTTTCACCCGTGTACTGCAGATGCCGTTTAAACCAAAGTCTGCAGTCGATCATCACTCCTAGGTATTTTATAGTTTCTTGTGACTGTATCCTCGCTTCTCCGACTTGGATAGTCACTTTCTCAATCTTCTTCCTAGAAGAGATTAATTAATACCGCTTCTGTTTTTTCTATCCTCAGATCTAAATCCACTGACCGCAGCCACCTTTTAATCAAGTCGGCTGATTTATGCGCTGTAGTGGTAATTCCCTCCAAAGTTTTTGCCAAGATAGTTATCGCTGTATCGTCAGCAAACCCACTATGGATGCTCCCTCTGGACGAAGAAGTCTCAGGATATCGTCGTATATCACGTTCCACTATGTAGGGCCCACGACTCATCCCTGAGGCACCCCTCCAGTGATCACCCTTTCTCTGTACGCTTTATCCGTAACGTATCGAAGTTTCCTGTCAGTAAAGTAAATAGCCACAATATTTATAAGATACGGTTGGACTCTTCTTTCCTGTAGGGCGGCTATGACACAATACCGACTTCAATGCACTTTTAGTGTCTAATGCTATTACGTAGCAATACTTTTTGTTGAGTTCCATCCAGCGTTTACCTTTTATCGTTTCTGTTGCAATATTCGTAACCACCCTTATTCCTTCCATTGGGCTTTGGGGGAGTATTTGATCCATGCGACAGCTTATTTGGCTTTGGCAGCAACGCCAGCGTTTGTTGTTTCCACTTATCTGGAAAAATTTGTTCCTTCAAAGGGGCGTTGAATGTGCTCACAAACATAGAAGGCCTTGCCAACATGGCTTGCTTAATAGCGCAGTTTGAGATGCCATCAAGACCGGGCGCTTTCTTACCTTTTATTTCCATTGCGATGGCAACAATCTTTTCAGGCCCGGTGAAATTAATATTATCTCTCACCTCAATCAATGGCACATATACAAACATGGCTTTCTGGGAAAACAGAGTGCCGATTATTTCTTCTACAAATTCTGCGCAGCTTGGTTGGTTTGAGTAGTTTAGGATCTTCATTATCAACTTATATATATACTGCCATACCCCATGGGTCTTCATTTATCTCGTCAATCAGGTTCTGGGAGCAGTTTCTCTTACTGACCAATATCCCTTTTTTAAATTGTCTTCGCCTGAATTTGAACTCTTCTTGGTGTCTGAGATAAGCACTATTCCCCTTTGGTCTTTGGTAGACACGCCTCGCTTTGTTACATTGAGCCCTTAGTTCGACTATCTCGGCTTTCCACCAGTGTACTGGCTCCTTGCTCTTAGGGAAGCAACGCCTTGTCATTGAACCCTCACAAGCTTTAATAATCCGTGCTATAACCTCCGAAACGGTAGCCTGTGCCAAGTTTCTGGGTTCTGCTTCTTCCAACAAATACTCGAAGAGTTTGTCGGCTAGACACCCCTGAGAGGGAGTTTTAGAATTGACGTGCACAAAGAGGATAGAGATTCAGCACTATTCTGCCCTTAGCTTTCGTCCATTTGCTACCCCAATCAGTCGCCCAGGCATTAAAATCGCCAGCGAAAATTATCGGTATTTTCCCCATTGTGTCGGCACATAGCTCAGTTATTCGCTTTTGGAAGTCCGCATGATTTGTTCTCGGCGAGAAATAGCAGCTATAGAGTTAAACCTCTCTGTTAAACGCAAACGTAACCCTCCCCTACTGAGATAAATCTTATGGTTGCCGGATTCGAGCTGCATTGCCAAAAGGCTGCAGTGCCAGTCTTGTCCTTTGCCCATCTGTTTCCTGAGCCTACCTTGTATGGCTCACTCAGAACTACTAGATCAATCGAAACTTCCCTAAGCACCTCTTTTGTTTAAGCACCTCTTGTGCAGCTCGGCAATGATTTATGTTTATTTGCACACACTTCATATCTTTCCATTATTGTTCGCGCCGCGTGTGTTTACCGGCCAATTTCTGTCGAGCAGTGGATGACCATGAGGCTTGGCTTGTTCCTTGAAAATCTCACAAAACAGGCTCTTTGTGCAGTCTCTTACTCGGTGACCTTCTTCAATGCATTTTAGACAGCACTTGCTTCAATCTTTCTGTCCTTTGCAGTTTTTAGTGAAGTGGCCTCCCTCGAAGCATCTATAGCATTTCAGTACTGATCAACTATGATTTTCTCGGATTCAAGTAAGTCCTTAGCACTTTTTGCTGGGACTGATAAAGTTGCTGTTTGTGTGCCGGCATATGCCTTCCTGATTGACATGACTGCTTCTCTCTTGATATTCAACCTGATGAGCCTTGTATTTATGGCCGCTATTAAGTTATCCCCCATCACTTGATCTAGATCCTTAAAATCAATCTTTATTTGCTTACTCATTAGTTTGATACTCCTCCTGGCTGAGCGCTTTTTCCACCAATTGCTGGTAAGCAC